AGGGTGCCACCAACAGAACCTGCTCCTCGTCCTCCCTTACCTTGCATAGCAACTGTGCAAGAAGGCTCACTGAGGGAAACGCATACTTGCGAAGGCCCCGCGGCCAGCTGTGTTCCAGTGTGTCCGTGCCGAGTGTTCCCTCGGCCAGGCAGAAGAACAACTGGCAGTGAGAGGTTTCTGGAGAGGCAAACAGGTCTACCTGAGCGGCTCCGAAACGTCTCCAAACCATCTGGACCGTCTGGGGATGGAGTCGCGGGCACGCAGCTCGAGACAGCTCGTCGGCTGCCCGGTTGAGCAGCCCAGGAATGTGAACAGCACGAAGCGACCTCAGATGCTTCTGACTCCAGAGGTGGCGGGCGAGTTGCGACATGCGACGGGAGCGCAGACCACCTTGTTGGTTGATGTACACAATGGTCGCTGTGTTGTCCGTGCGGGCTAGTACATGCTTGCCTCGTAAGCACCCTTTGAGACGGCTCAGGGCAAGGTGCACTGCCAGCAACTCGAGGCAGTTGATGTGCCAGTGCAGTTGGGGTCCCGTCCAAACCCCTGACACTGCAAGCCTGTACGTGGCCCCCCAGCCGGTGGTTGAGGCATCCGTGCAAACCACAGCATGCCTGGAGACCTGCTCTAGGGGCACTCCTGCCCGGAGAAAAGCAAGGTCTGACCACGGGGTGAAGGTTTGGTGGCAGGCCGGTGTAACTTGGACCCGGAAAGTGCCGCGTTGCAACGCCCACCTCGGGACTCAGCCATGGAGCAAGTGCTGCAGCAATCTCATATGGAGCAGCCCCAGCGGCGTGACTGCCACCATAGCTGCCATATGCCCCAGGAGCCTCTGAAACTGTTTCAACAGTCCAAGTTACACCGGCCTCGAACGCAAACCACAGGAATGACCTGTGGCGCGGAAGGATCGAAACATAGAAGTACGCGTCCTTCAGGTTGATCGCTGCGAACCAATCTTGGGGACGGATACACCTGAAGATGCATTTCTGCGTGAGCATCTTGAACGGGAGCCTGTGAAGGGCCCGGTTCAAGACGCGCAGATCCAAGATGGGCTGTAAAAACCCATCCTCATATCGGCTGGAGGAACCGGCTCTATCGCGTCCTTCGCCAGCAGGACTGCGATCTCTGCATGCAAGACAGGGGCATCTGCTGCTTTCACTGAAGTAAAGTGGACGCCCCTGAACTTGGGAGGGCGCTGGGCGAACTGAATCGCATAGCCGAGCCTGGCGGTTCGAAGGAGCCATCGAGATGGGCTGGGTAGCTTTAGCCAGACTCCCAGACACCGTGCAAGTGGCATCAACGGAACTACAGGCGTACCCGCAGTGGGGCAGCACGGAAGAACGCAGGGACCCAGCCCGGGCGTCTCGTAGCCGGTCCGAGGCGTGGTCTGGGTGTGTGTAACACTGACCTGCATTCGAGCAGAGGGTGCGTGGATAGTCCGTTGGTTCGTCCTCCTGATCCGCCCACAGCTACTCACTGGCAAGAGAGGAGGGTGAGTGTGATACGGCTCTGGATCGTCCACAACCCCCCGTCCCCTCCAGGAACCCAGAGATAGAAGAATTTGCTCTTTTGTCGAGTATTTGCTTTTGGTACCACTGACCGAGAGGTCGGCGCAACTTTGCTGGAGGCTGCTGTGAACGGGGGCCGCCCTCGGCGATGAGCAGGCTGAGGCGCTGCCACTGGCAGCCGGGTGGAGGCAGCAGCTGCACGCCAGGGCAGGATGTACCTGATGGCCTCAGTCTGCTTTTGGGCAGCGGAGAACTGCTGGGCGAAGTTCTCCACCGTGTCGCCGAAATGGCCGGTCTGGGACACGGGGGCGTTCAAGAATCATATCTTGTCCGTTTCATGCATGTCGGCCAGACACAGCCAGAGATGGCACTCCTGGACCACCATAGTGGACATCGCACCCAGACCCAGAGACCACGCTGTAACCTTCGTCGCTCGTAGCGCGAGGTCCGTTGCGGTGCAGAGTTCTTTGAGAACTTCCGGGTCGTGACCACCCTCGTGCAAGTCCTTCAGTGCCTTGGCCTGGTGCACTTGCAATACCACCGAAGCGTGTAAGGCAGATGCAGCTTCTCCACAGGCCGTATAAGCACTGCCGATCAGGGCAGACGAGTGCCTACAGGCCCGGGAGGGGAGCAACGGTTTGCCCCGCCAAGTGGTAGCGGCATTTGGACACAATTGCATCGCAACCGACTGCTCCACCTGGGGAACTCCCGTGTACCCCCGCGCTGGACCCCCATCAAGGGTGGTGAGGGAAGATGAGCCACTGGGCCGGTTTCTGGCAGTGAAAGGTGCCGTCCATGACCCAGCGATCTCATCATGCACCTCTGGGAAGAAAGGCACTGGGGTGGGGCCCTGAGAACCAGCGCGAGCCACCCCGAGAAACCAATCATCCAACCCCGTTGCGGTGCAGAGTTCTTTGAGAACTTCCGGGTCGTGACCACCCTCGTGCAAGTCCTTCAGTGCCTTGGCCTGGTGCACTTGCAATACCACCGAAGCGTGTAAGGCAGATGCAGCTTCTCCACAGGCCGTATAAGCACTGCCGATCAGGGCAGACGAGTGCCTACAGGCCCGGGAGGGGAGCAACGGTTTGCCCCGCCAAGTGGTAGCGGCATTTGGACACAATTGCATCGCAACCGACTGCTCCACCTGGGGAACTCCCGTGTACCCCCGCGCTGGACCCCCATCAAGGGTGGTGAGGGAAGATGAGCCACTGGGCCGGTTTCTGGCAGTGAAAGGTGCCGTCCATGACCCAGCGATCTCATCATGCACCTCTGGGAAGAAAGGCACTGGGGTGGGGCCCTGAGAACCAGCGCGAGCCACCCCGAGAAACCAATCATCCAACCTTGAGGGTTCGGGACGCAGTGGAAGATTCCACACCTGACACTCTCGGCGGCCCGGGAAAGCATAGCCATCCTTTTCGGGTCCGTATCCGGCACCGCTGACCGGCCAGAGGGCAGCAACACTGACGGATCTTCATCCCCAGATAAGTCCGCCCCCCTTGCAGGTAACGGAGTGTGGTCTGCAACTCCGAGATGGTCATACCCCCGCAATGGGAGCATGAGTCATCCACGAAAGCCACCTCAGCGTGCTTCATGCCCAGACACGAGAGGCAGCGATCGTGACCATCACCCGGCACCAGGTAACGACCGCACCCAGAAACACACGGATGGTA